TCTGGGTCCACTAGCAGGAAAGGGTGCAAAAGTTCTGGGTCTGGTGTCCTGCACCCAGATGGGCTGAAGTGCAACAGGGAGGAAGTCCCAGGGCCACACAGCAAAAGGAAAAGGAGGTTCCCTTTGGGATGATGTCCTATTAAATCCAGAAAAAGTCTGGCACAGCTTGTTTTCTAGCAGTAGCTGATGGCTGAAGAGGGGAAGGTTATGCTGTCAGCACCTGAACAGAGCCTCCTAACAGGGTGGCAGAGAAACGAAACAGCTGAAACACCAATAAAGCACACTTCTGTCAAGGTATAAAATTGCGTTTATGGCAGTTTCTGCAAAGCCTATAAAACAGGTGGGCATTGATCTTTCAGTCATGCCTCTCTTAAAAAAAACAACCATAGCAGATGGCTTAATTCCCCTCTGAGGGCAGTACTATCCCATATGAGGCTCCTGGTTTTGTTTCTCCTAATTCAAGTCTTCCAGTCATTTGTAGGAAAAAAATTTCGCAGGGTTTGGTAGAGCTGCCCAAGAGAACCAACCTCACAGGTTTAAGCCTGGATGATTCAGATATATTGGATGAAAAGCAAAAGCAAGGAAACAACAAAATCCTTCAGTTACGGGAAGGAAGAAAAACACTGCAAGTTTCTGGACAAGAATACCATGCTGTGGAATCCAAAATGCTGACATACTGGTCTCAATGGCCTCATCTCGTTTTCTTGGCCTACAGAGCACAACAAGAGAATGCAAGCTCTCAAACCTCTGAACATTTTACTTTTATCAAAGCAACCAAACAGAGAGAAAGGTCTGGAAACCACACAGGGGAAATGAAAAAGAATGCCGTCATAAATTAAAACATGGCAAAATAATGAAAGCCACCTAGGAAAGGACTGAGGACTTCATAGGATATCCCATACAGCCCAACAACAGCAACATAATTAAAATAAAACAACTGGAAAGCACTAAAGTAGCCCAAGAAAACTACAAGGAAATGGAATTCTTTTGAGACAGAGCTCCAGAAAATGTGGAAATGATCCTCTGAGGTGGACACCAAGAGAAGCAGGTGTCTGGTGACACAGCCTTCCCATGGGACCCAGACAAGTAATTTAGTGTTTCCATTCCTCTGCCTCTAAGACAATTCTAAAAATCCCCCCTCAGTCAACCAGTGCCAGGGCAAACTATGAAAAATCCCCTTCCTTGACCCAGCAGCCATTGCTCCTAGAAGAACCCTGCAGTTCCCTCTGCAACAACCAACAGAACACTTTGCATCTTGGTGGCCTTAGGCTGGCTGTCACAGGCATGGCACTGGTACTGCCCAAGGGACCTTGTTGGGAGTGGCTGGGTGTGAGCTGAGGGGTGACACAGAGGATTTGTGTTCTTTGGGCACTGTTCAGTACTCAGTGAAAAATACCGGGATCCAGACGTGGCTCTCTGCACTTCCATCAGGATCTTGGTCAAAGCCATGACTGACTCTGACTGTTGAATTGAACCAGGCTAAACAGCTACTCAGAGATGAGCAGGGAAAATGCATCAGCAACCAGGCTCACTTTCCAACATACCTACTTACCTTGGGAATTTGGGATTTGAGGAGTCCATCCTGCACCAGCTCATACTACATTCCTGAAGTGCTGGACCAGGAGTTGCAGAGGCATCATGCTTTCTCCCACCATAAGGTTTCTCAAATCCTGGTGCAAAGGAAGTAGCTCATGCATTAGGAGGTTTTGGGAATTTTCTGGAACTGAGCAAAATTGTTCCTGAGGACTTTGGTGAAACAAGCAGTATTTAATGCTTCACAAATTGGTACCTTTTCCTGCACATTGAGAGGGTGTCCTTGCTCAGGTACAAGGTGTCCTGCCCAGTGAAGTAGCTGAGCCAAGGGAGGCTGGGAACTTGCTCAGGCAAGTCTTCAGGTCATCTGTGTGCTGGGGGTACAGGACAGTCCAAGGCAGGGAGAGTCAGCCACCAGCTACTCTTTTATGTCTGACTTGCCTGCCCTGCTCCCTCCATACATGACCTGACCCTCTGGTACCAGCCACATGCTCAGCACCCGTGACAGGATGGGGACAGCCCCAGCATCAGAGAGCACCCTGGCATGGTGACAGTTCCACCAGCAAAGGCTGAGTGAGTCTGAAGCAAGGAGTGACTTCTTGGCACCTGTCTGCCCATCCCACTCAGCCCCTTGTGCTAGGACACATAGTGCACCAAATCACCTCTCTCCTTCCCAGGCTGAGGGAGTGTGGTACCTCACCTGGAAAACAGGGCTGTGACAAATGATAATGAAAACCCCAGTTTAGGCAAATTCCCGTCTGTTTAGTTAAGATAATTTTAGTTTACTACTTTTTTCTTTTTGGCAGTTGTGTGTGTGCAATTAGCTGCAATCTTGGCTTAAAAAAAAAATAAAGCACCCTAATTAGCATATTAAGCCTCCTCATTTCCCAATACTGTATAATGTTGTGAAAGCTAATCTATAATGTATTGGATGTTATGCAAATTCTCAGTACTCCGGATAGGGTTTACAAAGGCATGCAAATTAAAAATAGTGTTTGAAATAGGACTGGGGGGAGGGGAAAATTTGCACAATAAAATATGCAGGTAGGAGGAAAGGTGTTTATAACTTTCTTCCTATTGTTTGTGTATTCTCAGCTGCACAATGCTTTTCAAAGCTGAGAGATGTATTGCATAAAATCTCTCCAAACTGAATAGTTTTAAAATGAAATTTAAAATGAGAGTACTGTTCTCTGAGCAATAATTCACCCTGCTCTCTGCTGGGGTTTGTAATGGGAGAGTAAAGGCACTGAGCTTTCACTGTCTGGCTTTGCAGGCGTGCACGGCTGCTCGTAGCGTGTTCGTCTGGGGGTCACCAGAGGTCTTGGCACAGCTCAGCAGCCCAAGAGGGTCCATGGTGGTGGCTTGGCCAGGACCTGGCTGCTCCTTGTTGGTGTAACTGAGTGGGGCAGGTGCGTTACCTGCACCCCCAGGGTGTTGGTAGTGTCTTGGAGCGTGCTTTGATCTCGTTAATGTTTTACGGCCTTACCTGTACAAGGATGCAGGTGTAGCTGCAGCACAGCTGGCTTTTTAGGATGTCCCTGGCTCCTGGTGGAGGAGCTCTGCCTATTGCCAATGCTGGGCCTGCAAACACGGTCTGTCTCATGTGGATTGTCACTGCCATCCATTGGCTGTGTCCAGCTGAGTGTGTACAGCCAGCCCTGATTGATACTTAATTAGATTACAGCTGCCGCTTTAAAATAGCCATTTTATAAAAATAAAGTCTTGGCTGGTGTCAAACTGTGCCTTGTGCTGGCCAGGAGTGAGTGGTGGTGTCTCTGCTTGGACAGCTGAGAGGCAGTGCTGGCAGTGCTGTTGCTGGGACCAGTGGTTGTCCCCACCTGGATGGCTTTTCTCTGCTCTTGCCTCCCTGCTGGCCTGGGTAACACTACATGGGGTCATGTCGGAGCAGCCTGTGCAGCATTCAGCTCAGGAGTTCTTGAATACGATTTTTCTCATGATACCCCATGAGCTTCCTGGGCTCACCTGCCACTCTCCTGCCAAAGGACACAGAGCATCTCTGAGAGCTCTTCCCAACATCAGCCAGCAACAGTCTCACAGCCACCTCAAAAGCAGCTTTTTGGCAGATAAGGGAGCAGGGCTTTTCTTTACCAGCTACTTCTTCCAGCATCTTGCCCTGCCCCAGACATAGCAGCACTCAGTCATTCCTGTTGCTCAGAGTTGTGAGCCCTCCCAGACTGGGGATGTTTCCCTAAATGACACTGTGCAATTTAGCTTATCTTTAAGATGTTTTATATAGGTCTTACTCCTCTTTCTCCTGAGTCTCTTCTGCTCTGCAGACAGTCAGGCACTTTGGGCAGGGGTAGGAGGCAGGGAGCAGCAAGAGCCAGACATGAGGCATACATGGGCTGAGCTCCTGCATCTCCTCTGCTGACAGCAGGCCTTGAATGGACCCAGAGCAGGCTGTGCATGTGTCTGTGGGGTGTCGTCCTGTGCAAAGTGGCAGAGCTTTTGCTGAGGATAAGAACACAGCCCTGTGTGGCCGTGGAGCAGGGGATCAGAGCTGTTCAAGCAGGAGCTGGAACTGAAGATATTCCTTACACAGGGGGCCTGTCTCATGGAAACAGGCAGGAAAAAAAATCAAATCATCACATAAGGAGGAAGTGGAAATGACAAAACTTAACTGAGAGCTCCTCAGGTGCTGCTTCCCATGTGGAAGGAGCAGATGAGCTTAGCTCCTCTGGGCTGTGGGCTCTTGGCAGCGCCAGTCAGCAACTCCGTTTATCCTGCCAACATTTCCCACCCTGGGCACTTTTAGCCAGCATTTCCATATTCATTAATCTGCTTCATAGAGGTCTGCATTTGCTTCTTTTCTGCTGCAGTTCCCTGGACTGGGGGAGTTGGAGATGCAGCAGCTCTGGGGTGTGCAGCCGAGCACGATGCCTCTGAGCACAACCCCTACAGCGCCAGCCATGAGAGCTGGAGAAGCCAGTGCCAGCAGGGAAGTGGCTGTGACAGCTGGCAAAATCCCCCTCCATGGATCCAGCCTGGGAGTTTTTGCTTTGCAGTTGTGCAGAAACTCGTTAGGCACGGTGGCTGCCAGGGATCAGGGGCTACAAGCATTGTTCAGCCATGAGAAGTCAGAGTGGCTGGTGTGGGGGCATCTGTCTGTTAGTGCAATAGGGGGGTACTGCTGGATCAAACCCACACAAATCTGTAAAGCTACTGCAAGTGCCTGTGGGGCACCAAAGTGGGAGATTGGCCTTGCTTTGTTTCTACTGCCTTCATTTAACAGTGAGTGCCGATTACTCAAAGCGATATGGGCAGGACCTGGTAATGTAGAGATGCTCTAGTTTTAACTTTAAGGGGATGATCCAGTTGCCTGCAGTGTAAATACTTTGTGGCCAGGAACCCTGCTTTATCGCTTTGTATAGTTTTGAAGTAGTTTAAAGATTGAATAACATAAAATAACATAATATAATGTTATTTATGTTATTTCCCACGTGAAGAACTCCTGTAAACCTTGCAGTATTGAAACTCAGTGAACAAGGCATCTTAGACAAGCTGAAAAACAAATGGTGGTACGATAAGGGTGAATGTGGAGCCAAGGACTCCGGAAGTAAGGTCAGTCACTGAAGGTCTTTTTGTACTGATTAGCAATCACATTTTGACCCACTGTTTGTTTATACCAAGAATGACTTTCAAAAATTGCTATTTACATTTTGAAGGATGAAAGAAAAGAATAGAAAAAAATAAGTAAGTCTCAGAACTTGACAGCATATTTCTTATATGCAGTAACAGACTGTAGTTGTAAGTATGTTTCACTGTGTGAGTATTTTGCTAGAAACATGCTAAGAGAAGCCCCCAAAGCCTTTCAAGCTGGTGTCTTCATTTAAATGTGCAAGTTTTAGCACAGTCACTGTCTATTATTCAGGCCAGCATATTTTCTTATTTTTATTGAAAAAACACATTTTTGTTTCAAAATTATTACTTAGGTTCTCTACATGTCAGTTTGGGAAACAGTCACATGCTTGCTAAGGGCACAAATTTTCAGGACAGACAGCTGATAAAGAAAAAGTGCCTTTCCTGCCCTAATTGCCAATTCATTTTGAAATTGGTTGGATTTAAAAAAAATAAATCTAGAAATACTAATGGTTAATCATTACCTAAATATTGTATATTCCTTTTTATACTGCTTTGAACCATTTTGCTGCTGTACTATCCTGTCATCCACCAGTCATGCTATGGGGCTGCCACTGTTAGACCCTAGGGCAGGTCCCACCCCTGAGGTCAATCGGCCCAGTAGCTGCACACTGAAATTGTAGGGAATATTTATTTACACCATTCAGTCAAAAGGAGGATTTTTATTTTTTTTTATGCTTATAGACCCACTGGGGAGAAAAACTCTGTAAAGTGCTGGGCTTGTTGAAGTGAAGGACATTTTCAAAGGCACCAAGAGGAGGAGGAATCCAGTTCCAGCTGAAATCGGTCGCAGTTGAGTGCCTAACTCCCCTGGTGCCTTTGGAAGTGCTCTCTGTAATCATTCAAACAGAAAACTATAATTTCAAAGCACCCTTTCAGTGATGGAGGACATCAAGTTTCAGTGAAGCCAATAATAAAATTTCATTGATTTCAGTAGGGCTGGAAGTTGCTTAGGGCACAACCCAGTAGCTGTCGTAGTAGATAAATTTGGGATCATGGGATATCTGAACACACAGCAGCTGCCAGAGGAACTGTGATTGAAAAGAGGTATAAATGATTAAGATCTTTAGTTTAAATGGGGTTGTTTGCTACAACCACACATACCAAACTGCCTGTGAAACACACATACAAGGTAGATGATATTTTGCTCTGATTATATGCAAATTTAGCTCTCCCTAGAGAGATTCGTTAACCAAGCTGTGTCAGCAGCGTCTTCTCTGGGCACAGACAAATTTCTCTGGCACCTGCCCATCCACCCAGCCAGTGTGGCGTGGCAGCCCAGCCAGCTGTGCCAGCCAGGAGCTGTTCCTGCCCACAGCCACCCACCCATGCAGCAGCAGAAGGGTTGCAGCTCTACTTAATCCCATTCCAGAACCCTGTTCTACAAAATGCAAGCTTCTCCCCATCTGACATGTATTGAAGGAACATAAACCCTGACCAGTGATTTTTGTGTCACAATATCTGGTTTCATTCAATAACTCACTCTACAGAAGGTGCTAGTTTATTTAGCTCAGGGCTCTGCTATTTGACCTCTAAGTAACTGACCATCTTTATAGGGTGGGCTTTTTTCCTTAACTGTTGTAAAAAGGTAGTTAAGTTTAGCAGCATCTCAAGAATTTTACCTACATTGGCCAAACCGAAGTCTGTAGTGGTTTGGCTTTTTCTTTTCTAGTTTTGACATGGCCTTCTGTAAATCCTGCTGTTTTATGCAGCCACCGGCAAACTTTTCCCCGAGTGCCTTTGCTACCAGGGATGCTCGGCTATAGGCAATCTTGCTCTGGGACACCGAAGGCCTGGGGAAGTCAGTGGCCAAAAAAACCTCATTGCCTTGGAGTCAGCCAGGGTTTCACCCGCCACAGGGTGGAGGACAGAGCAGTCACTGCTGTGCAGCCCCAGGCTGTGGGGATGGGGGGACAGCACTGGTCCATGGGCCAGACACTGAACACTGTGAGTGTAGCTATTCCAGCTAGGGCTAATACAAAGTAGCCTGTTGTCTGTCTGTCTGTCTGTCTGCTCCTCACAGCAGAACTAACAGCGTGGCTCGTTTCTCTTAGGACAAGACAAGCGCTCTGAGCCTGAGCAATGTTGCTGGCGTGTTCTATATCCTTGTGGGAGGCCTGGGGCTGGCCATGATGGTGGCACTGATTGAGTTCTGCTACAAGTCTCGGGCTGAGTCCAAGCGAATGAAACTCACCAAGAACACGCAGAACTTCAAACCTGCTCCCACCACCAACACCCAGAATTACGCTACCTACAGAGAAGGCTACAACGTGTACGGCACAGAAAGTGTGAAAATCTAGGGGTACGGCTGCGGGCCAGGAATAAACCCCCTGGGTTTTCTTCTTTAATTTTTTAGCTCTCCATGCTATCCTGTTGTGTGCACCAGGGGGCTGCTGCAAGAGGCTTTTGAAACACCATCTTGTGGTAGTTTTTAAGTGTCAGTCATTTTAATTTCTTCCCTAATCAGAAGTAGGATCAGAAAGGTACCGTTCTGTTTTACACACAGAGGTAGCTGGTTTTGTGAAGAAGTGAGCAACTCCTCTGTCTAGCATCGTGCTAGTTCAAATGAAAGTATTTTGTTGCTTTAAAAATCACTATAATTGGAATTCTCATCTCTCTTGTTGCTGATCTCTTCCTCTTTGTTTTGTAAGCTATAATCAGGTCAGGTAAGTGCTTTTAGGAAGTTTCCAAAGAACTTGCAATAGAACCAAACCTTCTGCACTAGAATTCATGATTTCTAAAGCAGGAAAAGTGAGCTGAATTGCTAACAAATGATTCTGAAAAGGCCTGGTTAGCCCCTTGCCCACAGTCTGTTCCCCTCCATGGGCTGAACTCCCCTGCCCCTCATTGCCAGGCAGTGATGAAATCTTTCTGGTTTTATTTTAGATCTTCACCCTGACAGCATGCAAGACAAAAAAGCAGCAGAGAATGTGGCTGCTTCATGGATTTGGACCATCTGAGCCAGTTGTACTCTCTCCGAGGTGTCAGGCATGACACGCATTGATGATGGTGCAATGTACTTTTAATAGGAAAAACTGGTATTTTTTCCTTCAGTGCCTTATGGAAGACTCTGAGACTCACAACAATGCAAACCATCACTGAAATATTCTTGCTTTGCTTCAAAGAAGTAAAAGAAAAAGAAGAGAAGGAAAGGAAAAAGAAAAGAAAAGAAAAGGAAAAGAAAAGAAAAGGAAAAGAAAAGAAAAGAAAAGAAAAGAAAAGAAAAGAAAAGAAAAGAAAAGAAAAGAAAAGAAAAGAAAAGAAAAGAAAAGAAAAGAAAAGAAAAGAAAAGAAAAGAAAAGAAAAAAGAAAAGAAAAGAAAAGAAAAGAAAAGAAAAGAAAAGAAAAGAAAAGAAAAGAAAAGAAAAGAAAAGGAAAAGAAAAGACGTATGAAAGGGAAAAAGGAAAGGTCCGGTAACAAGATATTGGTATGTGAAAAATAAAAAAATTCTTGTAAAAAAGACCAGTGCAACAAAAGCCATTCTTTGATACCACTGCACAGTAACTGAACTTGTGTCCTGAAAGCAACCGCAGCTGGTTTCATCAGCCACCCCAGTCGTATCAAATTATGAAACTCCTCCTGACACAAAGCCTCAGAAATCTGCTGCGTGCAAACGTGGACTGGCCTGCCACTGCTTGTATGAGCTGATGTCAAGATGTTTCTCTATTTACTTACAGTGGTGTGATTTTATTTTTTTTTCTGAGCCACTTTAACCTTTCCAGCTAATTTGAGCAATTCTGTATAGCAGCAAAAGGTGTAACACCTGAAGGAAAGAATCCGTGCGTTCAAACCAATTAAGGTCAATGACTGTGAACCTGTAAATCCAAAAATAATTTGTGGAACTGCATGTCTTGCTTCCAGATTAGTGAATTAATTTCTTGACAAGGTAGCTAAAGTGCAGGCAGAAAATATTGCATTCCTTTTTTTTTGTTCTATCATCAAGCATACCTACAGGTGCTTTATTAATATGTCATTGGGTGGCTTTTAAAATTATTTTTAAAAAAAGGAAAAGCCACTTGCTGTTTAAGTTTAGACCATATATCTCTTTTCTTGCTGTGCATTTGCATTTAAATTCACTGTTTAATATCAAGCAATGAAGCAAGAGAAGGGCAGGTTAGTTTTTCCTAGGCCTGCTTCTCCCCAGTTCTCTCCCACCAAGCACCGTGCTCAGCTAATGCTTCTCAGTCCTTGTAAAACAGAAGCAAGGAAAGAGGATAGTAACTCCAGTTAGAACTGCAGTTCCAGAGTAATAGTAAGCAATCTTACATGACTCCTGCTAGTACTGTTATATTATATCAGCTCCTGCCAACTCTTGTTTCATGCCTGGTGAAGGATGCTCCTGTCCCTGCCTCTCTGTGAGGAGGACGCCACGCTCCGGCCACCTCTGCTCCAGGATGAGCTCACTATTACTCACATCCAACGTCTTAGACAGCAGCAGCATTCCAGCCTTGAACCTCTGCCTGGAAACTACTTAACTTCATCTCTAAAAATAAAAATCACAAAAAAAAAAAAAGAAAAAAAAAGAAAAAAAGAAAAAACCAACAAAACACAAAACTTTAAACATATTGTCAATCACATGGAAAATGTTTAATGGAATATCTGCATACTAATTACCTCTAATCGACAATATGTATTTTCCGTAGTTTATGATAGAGTTTTATTTCATCAATAACATACAATGAAAAAGAGACTCATTTAAATCAGTCTGACCCTTAGGCATTTAGTTTGCTGATGATAGATTTGAACTTTTAATAGGATTTAAACACAAAACAAAAAAAAAACAAAAAACAAAAAAAAGAAAAATAAAGTCTTGTTAAAAATATGTATTTCCAACAAAATGTAATATAAAATAATTTTAAAAGCTCATAGGAGAATAATTTATTGTTCAAGTTTTTAATGAGATATTGACAAAAAAATTGTTTTCTTTTCATTTTCTTTTCATTTTTTTCAACTTCTGAACACAATCACATCCCCAGCAAGGGTGAGCTAAAGCTGTGCAGTTATGAGTTGTATTTAAAACAAATGTTTTTCTTAAAAGGTGTATAAAAGATGTATGTTTATCAAATCAATTTTTAAGAGTGGAGGCTTCACACCAGTGAAGGGAGTTTGGTAAATGGTTCGATATTTTTTAGACTTGCATGTAAATCTAAAATGTGTTGAGTGCTTACCAATTCTGGCTACCAACTTCAAGCTATCAGAAGTTTGGCAGTAGTGTCATAATGATTTGTTTTGGTATATTTTTTTAATTTGTTTTGCTTCGGGGGCTTTGGGGGTTCTTTCCTTTTTCTTTTTTTTCCTCCTTTTTTTTTTTTTTTTTTTTGGTAATTTAAGTTCCTATTTTTGGTCGTTGAAACTGCACTTGAGTGAACAGAAAAATTGCCAAGCAAACTAATGGCTGTAAAAGCATAAATTGCATGTGTGGGCATCAATTACTGAGCCTCATTTTGATGAGGTGTTGTACAAAGAGTTTTAATACATTTTGTAAATAAAACTGTAAAGAAAAAAAAGTTTAAAAGCTTGCTTTTCTTCAGGGGAGAAAGAATCCATCCCTACTGCTCTCCCTTTGGCCAGTCTGGGATTCTCCTCAGATGTTTACCACAGAATCCTGGAAAGATTTCTCTTTGAAGGATCACCCAGTTCCAACAGCCCCACCAAGGTCAGGAGCACCTTTCTCTAGACCAGGTTGCTCAAAGCCTTTCCAGTCTGACCAGTTTAGGGGCCCCCACACTGAAGTGAGGATGCTGCTGGGAAATGGGTATTTCTGGTTTGCTAACCTCCAAACCACCTCATTTTTTATTTTCTTGCTGATGGAAGCTGGTTGATCCTGCAAGGTGTGAGGTACAAGGAGTACCCTGTGAGGAGCAGGGAAGGAGCAGGGGAAAAGCCTCAGGGCTCCAGCCAGGGTGGGAGATGCTCTGCCCTGCCACTGCAGTGGACAGCAGCATGGGTAAATAAGTTCCTTAAATATTTACTAAGCAGATGTATTTTCCTGCAATTCTCAGCTTTTCAGCAATGCTTCTTTAAGGAAAAAAAACCTTTCAACCAACATTGCAGCTAATCTCAGCACCAATTTTTTGAGTTTATGTCACAATGTGGTTTTTCCAAATCACCAACTATGAACTGTGGGGAGTAATCCTGGTATTAAAGAGCTGGTGTGTACCCAAACCACACCCCAGCAGGGCCAGCCTCTCTGGGCCTACCCCTGGCCACATGAGCCTCATGGTCCCCATCAGGAACCAGCTTCCTGGGCTTCTTCCAGGGACCACTGAGGGTGACACTACTGTTAGCACCCAGGGCCTCTGGGGCTGAGCTGAAGCAGCACCAGGCTTCTTTTGAATGACTGGAGATGGAAAGATCAGCTTCTGAAAAATAATAAAAACCCACCAGTGGAGGTCTTGGGCAGTAGTGCTACTGCAGAGCAGGTGGGCATGGACCTGAGTGGTTTGGCCAAAACAGGAGATGCCTGGAGTGTTCCTGTGGCACTGCCTCTGGCTGCTGGGGAAATGGGAAAAATGTATTTGCAGTCACTGGTACTTTTCACAGCTCAGCATCTGGTGCCTGGCAGTGAGTCCCAAACATGAAGCTGCTTGAGCCCAGCCTCAATCCCTGTGGAGCTGCCACTGGCACTCCTTGTGCATGGGTGCAGGGGGAGAACACATGCTGAGCACACCCTGTGTCTTCAGCCGAGGCTTCAGCAACTGCAAATAAGCTTAGAGATAAGCAAGGACTAAATCAGAGCAATAAATAACAATTACTCAACTCTAAACCACCTTACATGGATGAAGGTTTCAGATTGTCCTGGGTGTAAGCAGGGTTCTGTGCTGAGCACACTGGGCTCCACGTGGGACCACCCTTCCCACAGGGCACATGGAGGCCTCACTGAATGAGCCTATTTATGTGTAAAGTGCCCACACAATGAACACAGGGAGGCATGGAAAAAATATTGTTCTGTCCTTCAGCTTTCATTTCATGCTCAACATCCAGGCCAACGTGGGTGGGCTGCATTTTTCTAGAGAGCTGTCTTGACCCACTCCCTGCTGCCTGACAGCCACACACAGCCACGGGGGTGAGTTATGCTCCCTTCTTCCAGACCTGCCAAAAAGTGTCTGCAAGCAGGGCTCAGTGTGCCCACTGAGCCCCAGCAGAGGCCAGTGCCAGGCTGATGCCAACCCTGCCCTGAGTGAGCAGTCACTGCAGCACTGCCCTGCCAGGGGCTCACCAGATCCTGCACAATGGGTGTTAAGTTTTTCTAATAAATATGTGTCAGGTGAAACAGAGCAGTTAGGGCTGTGGTGAAGTGGCACAGCTGCACTCAGTGAGCTGGGAGAGCCTGGCCAGCTGGGATGGGGTGGGGGATGGCCTCACATACCACAGGGATGAGAGCCAGGAGATGGTCCAGTCTGGAACCTCCCTGGACCACAAGGGCAGTGAACCAAAACCTGCACTTGCTACACAGACTCCAGCAATGGCAGCAGGGTTGCATGGCACCCCTGGAATGCTGAGCTCCAACACACCCCAGCATGATCTTGTCTCTAGACTTCTGCAGGTCAGGAATAAATAGGAAAAATTCAGAGTAATGCATCAAATTCCAAGAGCCATCAGTGGCAGCAAATGGACCTCAACGGTGTTCATGTTTGAGCCTAAAAATCCAAACCAATAACAGCTCCTTCCCATGGCACACCACACCTAACAACAAAAGAAAATTAATACTGTGCCTTTGTGGCATAGATTTTCCTTCCAATGCTTTGTGCAAAGCACTGCAACATTTATTTTTTTTTAAATAATTATTCTTTACGGTTATAAAAATATTAATATGTCATGGATATTAAAATTAAATTACAAAATGTCTTTGGTGCCCGTATTCATCATTTCAGTCTGGAAAATTTGCTCTTATTTTGCAGGCAGCA